CAAAGAACTTGAGAAGCTAGTCTCCAAAACACCAAAGGATCCAATTAAAAAGTGGTCTACAGAACTAAATAGAGAATTCTCAATAGAGGAGACTAAAATGGCTGAGAGTCACTTAAAGTGCTCAACATCCCTAGCAATCAGGGAAATTCAAATCAAAACAACTCTGAGATATCTCACTCCTGTCATAATAGCTAAAATCAAAAACACCAATGACAGTTTATGCTGGAGAGGATGTGGAGAAAGGGAAACACTCCTCCACTGCTAGTGGGAGTGCCAACTCCTACAGCCACTTTGGAAATCAGTATGGAGATTCCTCAGAAAAATGGGAATCAGTCTACCACAAGACCAAGAAATTCCACTCTTAGGCATATACCCAAAGATGCACATTCATACAACAAGGATGTCTGTTCCACTATATTTATAGCAGCATTATTTGTAATAGCCAGAACCCGGGAGCAACCTAGATACCCCTCAACTGAAGAGGGGATAGAGAAAATGTGGTACATTTACACTATGGAGTACTATTGAGCAGAAAAAAAAAACAATGAATCTTGAAATTTTCAGGCAATAGGAAGGAACTAGAAGAAACTATCCTGAGTGAGGTAACCCAGTCACAAAAAGACAAATATGGTTTGTACTCACTCACATACGGATTTTAGACTTGGATCAGGGGAGTGCCAGCATATAATCCCACTGCCAGAAAGTCTGGAAAACAGAAAGGACCCTAAGAGAGATATGCATGGTACCCCAGAGAAGATGGAATGAGGCAAGATCTCCTGAGCAGATTGAGAGCATGGTGGGAAGGGGAGAGGGAGCCAGGAAAAAAGAGAAGAGGAGGGGAGAAGAGGAAAGAGGAGCAGGAAGGTTGATTTGGGGGAGAATAGAGGAGAGCAGGATGAGAGATACCATAATAGAAGGAGTCAGTCTAGGTTTGAGGGGAGATCTGGCACTAGTGATATTTCCAGAGATCTACATGGATGACACCAACTGGCAAACTAAGCAATAGTATAGTGACTACCTTAAATGCCTCCCCCCCAATAATGATTTTGACAACTATCTTATATACCATCCTAGAACCTCCATCCAGTGACAGATGGAAGCAGAGGCAGACACCCACAGCTAAACACTGAACTGAATTCCTGGAACCCAGTGACAGAGAGGGAGGAGTGATGAGCAAAGGGGTCAAGACTGGACTGGTGAAGCCCAGAGAAACAGCTGACCTGAACAAGGGGGAGATCTTGGACCCCAGACTGATGGCTGAGAAGCCAGCATGGGACTGATCCAGACCCCCTGAATGTGGGTGTTAGTGAGGAGACCTAGGCAATCTATGGGGCTTTGGGTAGATCAGTATTTATCCCTGGCACACAAATGGACTTTGGGTGCCCATCCCACAATGAAGGATGCTCTCTCAATCTGGACACTTGGGGGAGGGTCTGGGCCCTCCCCGGAATGAAATGACAGACTCTTGAGATCCCCCATGGAGGGCCTTACCCTCCCTGGGAAATGGAGTGGGGATTGGGTGGGGGGCTGGGGGGGGGCTGAGGGGGAGGAGGGAGCCTAGAGAGAAGGAGCTGAAACTGACATGTGAAGCAAGCTTGTTTCTAATTTATATAATAAAAAGTGTTTCAAAAAAATAAAAGACAAAATGTATCAAGACATATCAGCAACAACAAACCAGCAAATCAAAAACAATAAACATGAAAAACAGAATAGCCTAGAAAATAGTTAATAGAAGTGAATGTCCTTCCTTGTCAACCATCAGTTTAATATAAATGGATTAAATAGCTCAATAAAAGGACATAGGATGATTCAATAGAAAAACTAAGGCCAACCAGTTTGCTGTCTATGGAAAACTAATTTACATATAATACACTTGGTGCACACCTTGAATCCCAGCACTCAGGAAGCAGAAGCAGGCAGAACCGAGTTCGAGGCCAGCCTGGTCTCCAGAGCAAGTTCCAAGGCAGCCACAGCTACACAGAGAAACCCTGACTAAAAAAAGTAGAATGATAAAGGATAGAAGATTGTATTTTGTGAAAATGATGGAAAAGAACTTTGTTCTCTTCATTAGGAAACATAGAATTTGGGTAAGAAACTTGCTCAGGAGACCTTGAGCAGCATAATGTAACAATCAAGTGACAATTCATCAGTAAGATTCAGCAATTACAAATAGTATGTGTCCTATCAAATACCTAAATATATAAAGCACATCTGTATAGCACAATATATGCATACATATGTACACATATATACTGAGAGATGGTAGTAGACTTCATTAATCCAGTTTCAGCACTAGAATATTCTGACAGAAATTCAAAGCTGGAAACTGCAGACTTACATGTCCCAGTAGACCAAATGGACCTCACAGAACGGCAGAACATTCCACCCAAAGCTACCCACTAAATGTCCTCTCCAGGGCACATGGAATTTCCAAGACAGAGCAGGTATTAGCTGACAAAGTGAGCCCTAACTGCTTTGAGAACTGAATTTATACTAAATATCTTTTTCTAGCCACACTGAAACAAATCTATAGATCAAGGACAGAAAGAAAATCAGAAGGCTCACACACAGATTAACAGACTGTTAACAAATGAGACAAAGAACCCAAAAGGGAAGTCACAAAATATATGCACACACATAATATAGAAACATACCAAAACTTAAGAGTTCAGAAAAAGCAGCTAGATAACTCAGTGATAAATTCCCCACCACAAAAGAAAGGTGTCAACAAACTACACCTGGAGGAACTAAAAAAATCAGGAGAAGGAAAGATTACAGCAGAAATAAATGAGAAAAATACAGAATACAATAGAAAAAAATCAATGGAACAAAAAGTGCTTTGATTTTGTTGTTTTCATTTCAAAGATAAATGAAATCAACAAATCTTTTGCTAGAGTCAACTACAGAAATAGAGAACACTCAAATAAATAAAATCAGGATGAAAGAGGAAGCATTATAACTGAGGGCAAATATATAAACAAAACCATAAATACTGCTAGCAACTGCATACCAACCAACTGGATAACATCGATATGAACAAATGCCTAGAAATATACAGCCAGCCCAAACTGAATCAAAAAGAAAACACACTAAACAGACCGAAGATGAGGAAGAAAATTCCCTCAACTTGTATTTTCCCAAGAAAATCTCTATTTGTCTTTCACTTTGAAAATTTTCATAGAACATATAGTTCTAGATTGAAGTTTTCTCTCAGTGCTAAACACCACCTTCTTACCTGGCTTAAAGTGCACAAAGCCAAGGAGGACAGTATGATGTCTTAGAAATAAACATGATGAAATGGTTAATAAAAATTCAACATCTTTCAGATATTCTTTGTGTGGGAGGGGCCAAGGACATCCAAAATACAATATTTTAATAAACCAGTAAATGGTGGGATATGATGGTTTTAGTCCTGTATTACACATTAGAAGTCTAACTTATTCATACACTTGCATCTAAGTTTGTTCCCTTTAACCACACCCCACAATTTCTTATGTCCCCCTCTCCATCTATACCTAGCAAATGCCATTTTATCCTATGTTTCTATCATTTCATATCATGAGGTTTGTGAAGGTAATTCTGGGTCTCTCTCACCTCCGTCCCTCTGCCATGTGTTTGTCCTCTGGCATCTTTGGAGGTTTAATTCACCTTTGAATTTATTATAGTTTGAATGTATACCTAGATGCAAAATTACAGCAGTTTATAAGGCTTTCAACTGACTATCAAGTTTCCTGGATCTGTGGAGTGGTGTCTTACCTTAGTTTGGGGGAAATTCTCAGTCATTCTCTCAGTGTTTTTTCATCCTGTCCTCTCCTTTTTGTCCTTCTGGTGCTCTCCTTATATGTATGTGTTATATTTGTGGTCACCCCACAGTTTGAATATTCTGTCTCATTCCTTTTTTCCTGGTCTTTTTACTCCATCAGTTTGGGAGGTTTCAACTGAGATAGCTCAGCCTCTGAGATTCATGCCTCAGCTACAACCAGGCTGCTAACAAGCCATCGAAGCAATCCCCAACATCTGTTAGTGCTTTATCCCTAGCGTTCCATTGGCTGTATTATCTCTGGCAGTGTGCACTGGTTAGTTTTCTGTCGGCTTGACACAAACTGAAGGTCATCAGGAAGACGAGACCTCAGTTGAAAAATTATCTCCATAAGATGGGCCTGTGAACAAGTGTGGGGAAATTTCTTGATAAATGGTTGGTGTGGGAGGGCCTCATCAATATGGGTGTGACATCCCTGGGCAGGTGGCCCTGGTTTGTGGAAGAAATAAAACTGAGAAAGCTATAAGAAGTAACCGGTGTCTTAGTTGGGGTTTCTATTGCTGTGGCAAAACTCTGTGACCAAAGAGCAAGTTGGGGAGAAAAGGGTTTGTTTGGCCTGTGCTTTCAGATCATAACCCATCATTGGAGGAAGTCAGAACAGGAACTCAAGCAGGGTTGGACCTGGAGGCAGGAGCTAATGCAGAGCACATGGAGGAGATACTGCTTACTGGCTTGCTCACTCTGCTTTCTTGTAGAACATAGGACCACCACCCAAGAAATGGTACCACCATTGATCCCCCATTGATCAATAAATGAGAAAAATGCCTTACAGCTGGATCTCTTGGAGGCATTTCTCAACTGGGGCCCCTTCCTCTCCGATGACTCTAACTTGTGTCAAGTTGACACAAAACCAGCCAGTACAACTGACCCCTTGTCAACTTGACACACAAGCATATCACTATTACGCCACAAGTCTTCCTTTCTTATTCAAACCTAAGATCTCACATTAAAATAATTTTAAAAGCTCCAGTCTTTAAGAATTCAAACACATTAAAATTTCAGTCTCTTTAAAGTAGCCAATCCCTTTTTTAAAAGTTCAAATCTTTCATCTGGGGGCTCCTTTAAAAATCAAAATTATATTCAAGAGGGAAGAACCAGGGCACCATCACAATCTGAACCAAGCAAAATAGACACTAACAGTATAAATAACTCAATATCCAAGTATCTGGTATTTACTCACTGTCTGTCTTCTGGACCCCTCCGAAGGAAATGGGTCATTTCTCCAGCTCTGCCCTCTGCGGTACACACAGCTAGTCTTCTAGTCTCCAACTGGCTCAACTCCACTGCGGCTACTATTCTTGGTGATCGTCCCGTCATAGTGGCATCTCCAAAATGCTTGTTGCATCTGGGCTGCACTGTCACCAATAGCCTCTCAGTTTCTCTTCTTGGTGACAAGGCCCAGCTTCTTTGCATGATCACTTCAGTTCTGGGCTTTCAACTGCTACTGAAGCTGCACCTTCACCTGGCTTCTCCTGGCCTCTCAGAGTGCCAAGCCGCAGCCGTTCTCCATGACCTCTTCATTCCTTCAAAATCAGTACCACCTGGGTTATGCTTACACATTACCAAGTCCTGCTGCCAACACAAGATACAACCGTGATCACCTCTGTAACAGATTCTCTGTGCTCTCAGGAAACACTTCCAAGAAGAGTTCACCTCAATGATACTGGTCTCTTCTTTGTCACCATTAATTTCTTAGCTCTGCCAACCAGCATCAAGTTTCCCAGCAAAGCAAAGTCTGCTTTAGTAGTTCTGGTATCTTATTAATCTCAGCTGATTCCTCAGCCCCAGCTACCAGAACTACAGAATCTTAATTCAGAATAACAAATGTCCTTGAAAGGGCAAGTCAGGCCTCCATCCTCTGCACTGCTGTCAACATTCTTATCTTCCAAGCTCCCACAGAACATCCCACAAAGCTCTTAACACTCAATGTCTCTTCTAGCCCAAAGTTCCAAAGTCCTTTCACAATCCTCCCAAAAGCATGGTCACGTCTGTCACAGAAATACCCCCACTGCACTGGTACCAATTTGCCTTAGTTAGGGTTTCTACTGCTGTGCCAAAAAGCAATGACCAAAGAGCAAGTTGGAGAGGAAAGGGCTTATTTGGCTTACACTTCCAGATCATGGCCCATCATTGGAGGAAGTCAGAACAGCAACTCCGGCAGAGCAGAAGCCTGGAGACAGGAGCTGGTGGAGAAGCCACAGAGAGAAGCTGCTTACTGGCTTGCTTCCCCAGGCTTGCTCAGCCTGCTCTCTTATTGAACCCAGGAGCACCAAGCCAGGGATGGCACCACCCACCATGGGTTGGTTCCTCCCCCACTGATCACTAATTGAGAAAATGCCTTACAGCTGGATCTCAGGGAGGCATTTCCTCAGTTCCTCTCTGATGACTGTAGCTTGTGTCAAGTCGACACATGAAACCAACTGGTACACCCAGTGAGCATCATCCCTCCAAGAACTCTGCTTCAGTTCCTGCCCCCAGTTTCATGTTTTACTTACTGTTTGACTTCCCTCAAAGATGGACTGCATCCTGCAAGCCAATTTCCTCCCCAAGTTGCTTTTGCTCTTTCATAGTGCTTATCATAACAACAGAAACACTAGCTGGCACAGAAACTGGTACCAGGATGTGTAGTATTGCTGTGACTAGACATGGCCATGTTGTTTTTTCTTTTGAGAGAGGATTGTGGAAAGAAACACTTTAACCTTTGGGCTGGAAAAGCCAGTGAGTGCTGAGCACTTAATGGACTGCTCTGTGGGAACTTGAAAGATAAGAATGTGGAGGAAAATGCAGGTGTTGGAGGCCTGGCTTGTGACATTTCAGAAGGAAGTGAGAATCCCTCAAAGACTATCAGGGAAATTTGTGTGATATTTTTTACTAAGAGTCTATGGTTTCTGCTCATCTAGGGCTAAAGAATCAGCTGTGATTAGCAGGAGATCAGCACCACTAAAGCAAAAACTTTGCTTTCCTGGGACGGTTCATGCTGGTTAGATGGGTGTGATAAAAATGAGCTGTGATTAATAAGAGATCACCATCATTTACATGAAATCAACTGGGAAGTACTTCCTTGGAATCATCACATGGAGGCTGTAGTCCAGAGAGGGCCGAGGCTACTCATCAAGCTCATAGCAGGACTTGAAAAATAATGTATGGAAGTTTCCCAAGTGGTACCAGTTATGAAGGCACAAAGATGTCACAGAAAAGGGACAGAGGTTTGGCATTCCATGGCAGGTTCAGAGTCTCCCTGAAAAGAAGCCGGGCAGGATATCATTGTTAAAGGTCCAGTCTCAACTGCACTGAAGCAACCTCAGCTCCTTGGAAATCCCAGAACTGTGGGATGATCGCCAAGGACAGCAGCAGGTGTTGTTTGTATCTGGCCTGAGCCTAGAAGACAAGCTACATGTGTTACAAATAGTAGAGCTGGAGAAATGGATCTGCCAAGTACCTTGGGGCCCAGAAAATCAAGAGTCCCAGGCATTGGACACTGACCTGCAGGATCTGATTGCCTGTTAGCTTTGGTTTTGCTTTGACCTGATTGTAACTGTGCCCTGGTTTTTCTCTTTTGAAATAAGAAAATATGCAACTTATTTTGGATTTTGTAGGAGACTACAGATATGAGTTGGGATTTTTAAGGAGAACATAGATCTTTAAATCATTGAAATTTCAAAGGATTATGGGTGGAACTTTTAAAGTTATATTGTTTTACATTGTGATATTAAAATGAAACCTTGAGGGTTATCAAGAAATAAAAGATTGTGGTTTAACTGTGGTGTGTATTTGTGTTCCAAGTTGACAATCGGTCATCTGTGCTGTTTAGTATTTTGTGAACTTGACACAAGCTGGGGTCATCTGAGAGGAGGGAACCTCACTTGAGAACTGGCCCCCTCAGACTGTCCTGTGAGCAAATCTGTAGACCTTTTTTGGATTGATGGCTGATGGAGGGCGGCCTAGCCCACTGTGGGTGGTGTCACCCTTAGGCAGGTGGACCAAGATCATATAAGAAAGCAAGCTGGACAAGCTATGAGAAGAAATCCAGTAGGTGATGTTTCATCATGGCGTCTGCTTCAGTTCCTGCCTCTGCTCCTGCTTGAGGTCCTGATTCCGCTTCCCTTGAAGATGGGTTGTAACTGGTAAACTAAAGAAACCTTCCCTTCGTTGATTTCTTTTGGTCACAGTGTTTGTTACAGTAACAGGAAACCTAACTAGGGCACAGTATTTTATGTCTGCATTTGTGCTGCAGTGTGTTATCTCTGACATGTGTGTGGAGGTGTCATCACCCACATGTCTGTTGCAGTATGTTGTCTCTAGCATGCCTCCTACAGAGTACTGTCTCTCTCTGGCTTGCCTGCTGAGTGTTTTATCTCTGATATTTCTGCTGCAGTGTGTTATGTCTAGCATGTGTGCTGTAGTGTGTTCTAGCATTTCTGTTGCAGGGTGTCAAGTCTAGCCTTTCTGTTGTGGTATGTTATTTTTAGTATGTTGTCTATCTGTTGCAGTGTTATTTTTAGCATTTCTTTTTAAATCTTCTATCTCTTGTTTATGTTTCCCATTTGTTCTTGCATGATGTCTAATTTATCAATTAATGACCTTCGAGTACTAATTACAATTTAAATTCCATTCTGACAGTCTAACATCCCCATCATCCATGAGTCTGTTTTCAGTGATTTTCCTTTTTCATACTCTTTCTCTTTTCAGCTGGTCTGGACATACTGAGTCCTGCGATAAGTTGTGGGATGGAGGAATAGTCTAATAGTTTATAACCAGGTTTCCAATGAACTGGCTCATGGGACTTTTGAGTTCTGTGTTTCTCATTTTCCCTCTCCCTTTGATAGAAAAGTATAGCTTTAGTGATCTGGAACTGAGTATCTTCTGCTACATAGGCTAGTGTGGTGGTCTAAATGAGAATTCCATGGGATCATGTGTTTGAATAATTGGTCCCAGGTGTTGGACCTACTTGAGAGGTCATAGAACTTTTAGGAGGTGGAGCCTTGATGGAAGACTGTGTCACTGGGGCATGCCTTGAAGGTCTGTAGCCTCACCTCAACATAGGGATAAAATGTGAACACCTAGCCTCTTGCTCTCTTGCTTCTATGCCATGCCTTTTCCATCATTGTGGACTCTAGATCTCTGGAACTATAAACCAAAATAACTCTTTCTTTCTTAAGTAGCTCTTGATCATGGTATTTTATCACAGTAGCAGATAAGCAGCTAATAGAGATAACAAGAGCTGAAGTTAGCCATTTCCTATGTTCTGCTCATTTTTTGATAAAAATCCTCACAGCTAGAAATGATTAAGATATAAAAAGAAGGAGGAGATTCAGATAAATAAATACAGGATGAAAAGGGAAACATAAACCATTTGGGTTCTTTTGTTAAGAACAGAGTCTGACTGCAAACAAAATTATTCCTTTCCTGTCATGTGGACAAAAATGTGGGGAACTTTTTCTAAAGCATTCACTGTGGGAGCACAGTAGAGATCTCTAGGAACCAAAGCTCATGACCATTCAGAGCTTTCCTGTGCCTAGGTTCTCTCGGAGCTTTTATCCGTTTGCCCAGGTTGAGCCTCGAGCATCCCACCAATCACACCCATATCTGCTCACCCAGACCCTGGTTGGCTCAGAGATTCTAAACGTGAGGGTGTGCCTTAGTAAGTTGCAGTTCTGTCCCACATACAGATCTTCCCACTTTGCGTCCAGTCATCTTCTATCACATGTCTAAGATGAGGTATTGTTTTTTCATATTGTTTAACTTTTTACTTGTTAGAATGAGGTGGTGGCTTCGACTTTTGGCATGTTGGACTGAAATCCAGAAGGCACAATAGAGATTCTAGATAAAAAGGAACCCTTGAATCTCCAATGCCTTCAGAGCAAGTGAGAAGGAAAGACTATAAAGGAAGGCCCTAGGTGGTGGTGGGGTGCTCGGGGAACAGGCTAAGTCGGATGGGACCACAACTCATGGTCCCGAAGGGAGGTAACCTTGATGATATGTGAGAGTCTAAATTTTAGGCCCTTTTTGTCCAGATAAAAAGCTCAGTGTAATCCACGATATTGCTGGGCAAGGATCCACATTAGGCAAACTGTTCTCTCATTACCTCTCTGAAGGCTGAGCCTCACTTGTTCAATCAGCTTCGTTTGCTGTCACTCGGACAGGCAGCAATGAAATAGTGCTCAAAAAATTACATTCCCAGCAATTTCAGCGCGTGCTCGACTCATGAAGCATGCACACAATTGCTGCTTCGTAAAAGTTTGATAAATGAGATGCAAAATATACAGTGCCTTCCTCTGAACAGTGTAGGGGGTTTTATTCCAAGGGTCGTTTTGGATAATGAAAAACACGATTAATGAGTTTGATGGAAGGATTCATTAGCAGTGGAGAATGTCCAGATAGTAAACAAGAAGAGGCTTTGTCTGGGAGTATCAAGCAAGTCACTCAGCTTAAAGCCATGGTGGTTTACCTTTGGGTTACCAGCTTCTGGGGTGTGCTCAGCTCCTTTGACCTTGGGCAAATATGTAAAGACCTTGGGTAAGCCTTGGACACTCTCTTTGCTTTCCTTTACCTAAAGGAGGAGTTGAGATTCTAAAATGTGCTCCCTCGATTCTTAGATTCTTCGGGGTTGAGATTTGCTGCAGAAACTAATCCCTTGAGTCTGTTTGCTGTCCAGTAGGACATCCAGGGTGAAATGAATGGAACTAGGCTTTCCATACAGGAGTCCAGTGTGTGACCACAGTAAAGAGGGTAATATTGGGAGAATTTGGCAGGTTCCTTCTTAAATGATCATTTCAACCTCCCATAAAAATAAAGAAAGGCACAAGTGTTGGTCTGAATCTGTGTGCGAGTGTGTACAGTGATTTGTGTGGGCATTTTGTATGTGTTTATGCATAAATATATGTGCATATGTGGATATCAGTGGGTGAATGTGTGAGTGTGGCTGTCTGCAGGAATTAGTGGCCATGTGACTGTGGATAAGCATATAAGTCAATGTGTACTCATTTGTATGAGTGGGTTGCATGTGTGTGTGCTGTGTGCTTATGTGGACATATATATGTGCATGCATGAGGATGTGGGGGGTGTCTCTGCATTTATAGTTGTGGGAATGTGTCACAGCATT